GCCTTAAAAAAGGGTTCATTAAGTTTATAAAAAAAAAACTTGTAATATTTTTCAAAGTAAAATAGATTCCTGAATAATTTTGAACAGTCTGTTTTATTTACAGTCATCAGTCTTACATTTTTAATAATTAAATTTCAGTAATAAAAACTGAAATTGAAGTTAGTTATTTGTTACAAATTGAAATTGGCCTGAACTGTGCATAATAGAAATGTACTCAATGTTACATTTCACACACAGAAGTTATTATCAATAATGCATAATTTTTTTGTTATATAATACACAGTGACTCCAGTTTACTAGATTTTAAAAAAATTTTATATTATAAACATTTGGGTTGCAGAACTGTTACAAATATATTGGATTATGTGAGCAAAATGTTTGAGAAATGCTGGTCTAGGCATCTTGGCAGAAGGATCACATGATTTTCTTTTCATAATCAAGATCAGTTTGTGCAGAATCAGATAGCAAGGAAGTCATAGATAGGATCCAGATGATTCTCAATAAAACTTCAAATTAACAAAAAGTACAAAATTATCCAGAAACACAACTTGTAATTTCAAAATAAATATGGCATTAGACAGTTTCTAACGAACAAAAAGCAAAGCTTTTTTATAAATGTGCTAATGCTTAAATTGATGATCATAATAATTATAAAATATAACTGATATACCAGCTGTTAAAAAATAGAAACAATATCTCATTGGGCTGAAATTTTGAAACTAGACTTATTAATCCCCATTGTTGTTCGTCTATTTGTCTGTCCTTCCTAAATCTCAGTACAGTGTAGATGAAAGTCAAGACCAGATATGGAAAGCTTAGGGGCAGGAGGTCCCAATTAACTATATATGAACATCTGGTATAGATCAGAAATCACATGAATTCAATTGAAAAATTTTCCCCTAAATGGAGTTACATAGATGACTGGTATGACTGTGTTATCAGGAAAAGTATGATGTATAGGGGCAAGCCACTACTCATTTGAGGCAGAGAACATATATTTTAAATTAAGTAAATTAAGAATATGACTAAAAGTTATTATATTTTGATTAAAAATTGTGGCCCAGATAACTGACATTGTGACATTGTCACAATTAATTATTGTCACAATGTCACCATAAATAATTCCTTATTATCCTCACTTCCCTGAACCTCTTACCAGCGCGTAATGAGTATAAGAAATATACAGTAGGTGACAAACATTTTCAAACTATCTCGCAGTTCTTCCTCAGGTCAACTAGCTTAGGAATGCTTCCGAACAGAGCATGTGGAATTCGACAGGATTGAATGGCATTTCGACAAAGTCAGTTTCGCTTNACTCCAGTTTACTAGATTTTAAAAAAATTTTATATTATAAACATTTGGGTTGCAGAACTGTTACAAATATATTGGATTATGTGAGCAAAATGTTTGAGAAATGCTGGTCTAGGCATCTTGGCAGAAGGATCACATGATTTTCTTTTCATAATCAAGATCAGTTTGTGCAGAATCAGATAGCAAGGAAGTCATAGATAGGATCCAGATGATTCTCAATAAAACTTCAAATTAACAAAAAGTACAAAATTATCCAGAAACACAACTTGTAATTTCAAAATAAATATGGCATTAGACAGTTTCTAACGAACAAAAAGCAAAGCTTTTTTATAAATGTGCTAATGCTTAAATTGATGATCATAATAATTATAAAATATAACTGATATACCAGCTGTTAAAAAATAGAAACAATATCTCATTGGGCTGAAATTTTGAAACTAGACTTATTAATCCCCATTGTTGTTCGTCTATTTGTCTGTCCTTCCTAAATCTCAGTACAGTGTAGATGAAAGTCAAGACCAGATATGGAAAGCTTAGGGGCAGGAGGTCCCAATTAACTATATATGAACATCTGGTATAGATCAGAAATCACATGAATTCAATTGAAAAATTTTCCCCTAAATGGAGTTACATAGATGACTGGTATGACTGTGTTATCAGGAAAAGTATGATGTATAGGGGCAAGCCACTACTCATTTGAGGCAGAGAACATATATTTTAAATTAAGTAAATTAAGAATATGACTAAAAGTTATTATATTTTGATTAAAAATTGTGGCCCAGATAACTGACATTGTGACATTGTCACAATGTCACCATAAATAATTCCTTATTATCCTCACTTCCCTGAACCTCTTACCAGCGCGTAATGAGTATAAGAAATATACAGTAGGTGACAAACATTTTCAAACTATCTCGCAGTTCTTCCTCAGGCCAAGTTGACCTGAGGAAGTTTGTCGTTTGTCACCTGCTGTATATTTCTTATATGCATTACGCGCTGGTAACTGGTTCAGGGAAATGAGGATTTTGCTCTGGTGCTGAAGTTAGAGTGAACTTTGTAATTCCTTATTAATTATTAATATAGATTTAACCATATTGATTACCATTGTTCAGTTATACACAACAAAGAAACTTCATACTTTAACAATATTTATTCATGTATAGTTTTTACAAATGCATTTAGACTCAATAGTTCTCTTCAGTTAAAACAGACATTAAAATAAAGATTTGTACTCATTTGTAAAAAAAATAGATGTGAATAAATGTTGGGAGTATGAATTGATTCCTTGCTGTGTATGGCAAGGACAATCGTAATCTAATCCATATTAACAACTAATAAATAACCTTATACAATAATTACCATAATTTTTGTCTATAAACATTGGAATATGTACTAAAAAACTTATTATCCTTAGTATGGATTATTAGCAGGGACACCATCATCTGGTTACAGCAAGCCATCTGGGCCTACAGCCAACTGGGTGTTGGACTTCTGGACAACGAAATATAACATTGATCACAGTGACTCCAGTTTACTAGATTTTAAAAAAATTTTATATTATAAACATTTGGGTTGCAGAACTGTTACAAATATATTGGATTATGTGAGCAAAATGTTTGAGAAATGCTGGTCTAGGCATCTTGGCAGAAGGATCACATGATTTTCTTTTCATAATCAAGATCAGTTTGTGCAGAATCAGATAGCAAGGAAGTCATAGATAGGATCCAGATGATTCTCAATAAAACTTCAAATTAACAAAAAGTACAAAATTATCCAGAAACACAACTTGTAATTTCAAAATAAATATGGCATTAGACAGTTTCTAACGAACAAAAAGCAAAGCTTTTTTATAAATGTGCTAATGCTTAAATTGATGATCATAATAATTATAAAATATAACTGATATACCAGCTGTTAAAAAATAGAAACAATATCTCATTGGGCTGAAATTTTGAAACTAGACTTATTAATCCCCATTGTTGTTCGTCTATTTGTCTGTCCTTCCTAAATCTCAGTACAGTGTAGATGAAAGTCAAGACCAGATATGGAAAGCTTAGGGGCAGGAGGTCCCAATTAACTATATATGAACATCTGGTATAGATCAGAAATCACATGAATTCAATTGAAAAATTTTCCCCTAAATGGAGTTACATAGATGACTGGTATGACTGTGTTATCAGGAAAAGTATGATGTATAGGGGCAAGCCACTACTCATTTGAGGCAGAGAACATATATTTTAAATTAAGTAAATTAAGAATATGACTAAAAGTTATTATATTTTGATTAAAAATTGTGGCCCAGATAACTGACATTGTGACATTGTCACAATGTCACCATAAATAATTCCTTATTATCCTCACTTCCCTGAACCTCTTACCAGCGCGTAATGAGTATAAGAAATATACAGTAGGTGACAAACATTTTCAAACTATCTCGCAGTTCTTCCTCAGGTCAACTAGCTTAGGAATGCTTCCGAACAGAGCATGTGGAATTCGACAGGATTGAATGGCATTTCGACAAAGTCAGTTTCGCTTGACATGAGCGGCCGTGAGCTGGTGAGGTAGCCACGGGCCAGCATCTAGAAGGGACTGCCAGGCCAGCGACAAATTTAGCTCCTCCTTCCGGTTGACGCACGTGGCCACCTGGCCTGCTTTGTAAGTGGCTATGGATTCTAGTCATTTAAGGTGGTCATGGTGGGGTGTGCTGAGGATGACTGTAGCTCTATCAAAGTGCATCTTGACATCCGGATCGGACTCATATGTGGCAAGTGCAGTGGTGAACAGCCCATGCTGGATATCTGCTCGGTGTTTTCTTATATGGGTACTTAGGGAACGCTTGGTAGAACCAATGTATAATAAGTACCCATATAAGGGAACACCGAGCAGATATGGGTACTTAGGGAACACTTGGTAGAACCAATGTATAATAAGTACCCATATCTGCTCGGTGTTCCCTTATATGGGTACTTATTATACATTGGTTCTACCAAGCGTTCCCTAAGTACCCATATAAGAAAACACCGAGCAGATATCCAGCATGGGCTGTTCACCACTGCACTTGCCACATATGAGTCCGATCCGGATGTCAAGATGCACTTTGATAGAGCTACAGTCATCCTCAGCACACCCCACCATGACCACCTTAAATGACTAGAATCCATAGCCACTTACAAAGCAGGCCAGGTGGCCACGTGCGTCAACCGGAAGGAGGAGCTAAATTTGTCGCTGGCCTGGCAGTCCCTTCTAGATGCTGGCCCGTGGCTACCNTATTTTTGCATATCTTGCATTTCATTGAATTTCATATAATGTATTATTATATAACGTTTTAATTTTTAATTAACCTATGCTTGTACTTATATACATATTTTGTTATTTATAATAATAATTTTTATTTTATTTTATTTTTCTTTTTACATTTATATATATATATTTCATTCGTTATTTTATTTTATTTGTATTAGAACAAAAATTTAATTTTGTTTATATTTGAATATCTTAGCCTGATGATGGCCAACAGATATGGTTGAAAACGTTTGCTTTTCATTAAATTTTTCTCAGCAAATTAAGGTGTTGTGTTTTTTTTACTTACACACTGCTGAGTGAGAGTACCTCAATTAGAACTGCTTCTCTTTGATGTGCTTTGTTTTAATTACTTCACTTAAAATAATTAATGATGCTACAGTACATTGTTCTAAAACATCTTGTTTTTCTAAGTTGGAAATAACTTGTAACTCATAGTTCATAACTCCTACCACATAAGTCTTAACTGTGTTTATATTTATTTTATCAATATTTACAAAAAAAAAATCTGCCAAATTGTATGCTCCCTAAATGTGCAAAGATTTTTAAGTTTCTGTCTCTCAAATGACAATTGCCCAGTTGACTATCACCCATTATGAATTGCCCAGTTTACCATCACCCAGCTGTTGTGTACCTAATCATTGCACATGATCTGTGATAGATTTTTTCCACAACATACGAACTTATCTTCTTTGCTGTTGATATGGAGAAAGTTTGTTCAATTGATAGATCCAGAAAGTTGTTATAGACATGTGGTTTAATTATGAATATTTGGATAACGTTTACCTTGGTAACCCCAATGGCTGCACTTCCAACTGTTCGTGCTCCCAATGGACTCCTCTTGGAAGGGAGCTGCTAGCAGGCTGCCTATTGTTTAATGTCATTAGTTATTAATTCACAGTTCTTGAACAAAAGAAAAAAAAGGAAACGTCTACTGAAAATGTAGTTAACCTAGCCTAACCAACCTAACCTAACTGAAGCACCGCCATTAGGACTACCAAGGTAAACTTTAACCGAATATTTTATTAATATAAAAATTTATAAAAATGCCAGGAAGACAACTATGTTCAAAGGAGTCAAAAATTATATTGAGAGAATATTGCAGTATTTGTGTGGAATTGATATTTTATTTTTGTTAACAAAATTAAATAAATAAATAATTGAAGCCCTTGGGCATATAGTGCTAACCCTCAGAATCACATTTCTGAGATAATTGAGTTTGAATGTTTCTGAGATAATTGAATGTTTAAAAAAATCCTTAAATTGTATGAATAGGTGTGTGTTAATATTTTTGCTTTCTGAACATTCTTGTGGCTATCATCTTGTGCTCAAACTAAGAAAGATTATGATTGTCTGATGAAATATTTGACAAGAAAGATTTTGCAGATTGAGGTAATGGCAAAGCACCGTATATCTTCAAGAGTTTTTGCTATTCTTGCAGCATTGTTTATTGAATACCAAAAAAATATTGTCTAAATAATACTTTATTTTCTCTCAATATTTTTGTTTACATCATTTTATTTTTCTCAATTTATTCATCAATGTTTTCCACTTCAACAACAATGTCATATGCCTTAATCTGGGAATAAAAAGCATATACTTTAGGAACCCATCTCATTAGGGTCACAATATCTGCCACTTTATTTTTTGCAATCAGCAATGTCCCAGTGTACTTTTTCTCCAGCTGATACAGATATGTGTTGATGCTAGGATGATCTTTCCAAGTAAGTGAGGCTTTTACCAATACTTCATCTGTGGAATGTGTATAACTCACATATAGATTGTTGGGATTGTCTGTAGTATACTTAAGTGTTGCAACCTGACTGAATCAAGCAGTTGTTTGTCAGTTGTGATAACTATCTTCTTTATGTTTTTTACAAGAGCAGAGACATTTTTGAAATCTAAAGTTTCCATCATTTTGGTTATGACAAACTTGCTTCTTTTGTTGACTTGATAATATCTACTCAGTGGTTGGGACTATAGACATTTGGCTTATGTTTCTGTACATATGTTTCAATATGCACAAAGTCAGTTGCAAGTCCAACTTTCAGGGAAGTGATGGTGGATTTCTTCGAAAATGCCATGTTCTACCAGAGATTTACAAAGTGCAACAAATGTCCAATTTTTATTCTGCCCCTTGTAATTATCAAATATTATATGAAGGGCTTTGGCTGTGAGGTTTTTTTATCTCCAGATATTTAATGAGACAACTCATAATTTCATCTACTCCCCATTGTGCATCATCTATCCATAAGAACATATGACCAACATTGGCTCTGCAATCATGTGTTCCCAAGTTAAAAGTATAAAGTTTCCTTTTATAAAATGCCAGACTGACACTTAATTTTGGTGTTTGAAGTGCTTGTTGCAAATCAATTGCAAATGCAGTGGACTTATCTGGCTGACTTCCTTCATTGGGTTTTTTATTGTGTAGATCTTGTGCAATCTCTGTTCTTCTGAATCATTGTTCTTCTTAGCATTTATGATTTCAAAGGCATTTGCATCACCTGTTGCACAAGTATCAGATTTTGGCAATTTAAACCAGCATTGAATTTTTCACAGAAAATACAATGGAATTTATCAACAGATATTTTTGGTTTTGAGTTTCCCTGACATCATATAATGTAGTATTCATGATATAGGGAATTTATAGTCATATTGCAATTGAAAAATGTTTTTTGGGGGGTTTTTTCCAACTGTAATGACTTTCATATTTAGGAATGGAACTGATGTAATCACAGGCTTGTTGAATACTCCCCTCAGAAAATTTGGGTTTGCGATTGCCTGCACCATCTGTTTTATTAAAATTACATCAATAGTAATAAAAATAACACAAAGCTGTTATTTCATTTTATGCAGCCACCAGAGAAGTAGCAATACCAACCTCTTCTATTAGCTTTTGGGGAAAGCCTCCTGTCTTTCAATTGCTGCTGCAAATTACAAATTCCTTTCACATAGCTGTTCAAATTGAGAGAAATAATGAGATTAGAATAACTAGAAACAAGACCAATCAGAGAAACAAATTGGGAAAAAATATTAAAGCTATAAATGCTATAGGCATTTACCATCTCACTTTCTCTTGTATTTTAATGGATTTCATCAAATAAATCTGTTGTTTTCCATAATCAGCCATATCCCAGAAACTGAATAAAATCATTCTGAAATC